CCTTAAGAGAATTTACCCATGTAGCCCAAAGACCCTTTCCATTTGCTTGCTTCCAAAGAAGTTTGAGAAAGAAGGTTTTTTGAATATGTGGTAGGCTTCTAAAACCTAAACCATTTTCCAGAATCGGAAAGCAACATTTCGACCAGCGTTTCCAAACATGCTTTATCTTCTACGTTGATTATAATTAGAATTTAGGGTCCATTTGATAGCTCTGTTTTTCGATATATCAGACTTATCAACCAACATTTTAATTAAACATGTATCTTTTGATTTCGCGCGCTGAATTATATGATAATTTTTTGGCTGTATTCGATGAAGTTACTGTAGCTGACTATTTTAGCTATTTTCACATAATTTTTTCTTTATTCTGTGAATAAAATAAATATATTGTAAATATAGTTTTTTCATAAATCAATCAATACAGCCACATCAGTCAGAACTTCATAAATTCATCAGAATAAGCTGATTCAGCCGATTGCAGTGTGACCAAACGAGCTCTTAATATTCTGGTGTGCAAATAAATACATTTGGAGTTTAATTGTGTTGATATTTTATACAATACCTACTCTAAACATTGTGGAAATATGTAAGAAAATCAACTATGAGATCTAAATGTTACTGGGTAGTACTTAGATCCACTCAAGAAAATTTTGGGCCTAAAGAACCCCAACCTTTAGATCTTTAGAAAGTTTCTCTTTTTATAAAAGCAATATCAGTGTGATTTGAAAGGTTATAAAAAATTATTAACTTGTATAGGAATATTAATTTTTCAAATACATTCTAGAAAGTTTAGACCCTACTTCTTTCTGTTGCTACTATGGAAAGAACCTTTTCAACAATGAAACATGTGAAGACGGCACATAGTAACAAAATGGGAGATGATTTTCTCGAAGACTCATTGATGATCTACATTGAAGACTTTTTGTCAAGAACATATATGTAGATTCTATTATTGATGAATTTTATACTTTGAAGTCGTGTAGGGAACAACTTAAATGATGTCTTAATGAATATTTAAAGTGTTGACGACTCGACGTATTGTTATGCACGTGTCTTCAATTTTATTTTTCAGCGCACCCCATTGTAACTTTCAGGATCTGCAACTTTAACTTGTGGCCGCCACCGTCGGAGTTACACGTTGTGGCGGCCATCGTCGGAGTTGCAGTTTGTGGTCGCCATTGCCGTTTTCATCCCTCCCTCACGGGCTAAGAAAATGGTGAGGCACAACCTGATCTACACAATGATGTCTTGCAAGATTGATAAACATGGCGGCAGGTTGTAGCTAAAGATGATTGTCGGCTGCGGCCGAACTAAGTTGCAGAGGGCTGCGAGTCGGGGATGCAGGCGGTGGCAGATAGGTGTGATTGGGGAATGCGACAGTGCTCTAAATTAACGTAATATAGGACACTAATGGATGATGCAAGCAAGCGGTGGACAACTTTCAATAGTGGTCTGCCACGAAATATGAGGAACGGATGAAGGGGACTATGCAGAAAACGATTGATTGGAAGGCTATTAGGAAAGTATATAGTAATAGTAAAATAAGAGTAATAACTAGTTGGAAAAATAAGTTGTAAGAATAAGAAAACAATTTTAAAAGCCATGTGGACAGTTCACACAGCAGTTTTTGCCATTTTTGGTCCCTCGACTATGATGTCAATGACACTTTTGGTACTCGACTTCTAATTGTTCCATTTTTAGTCCTTGACTATTGTGCTGGAGACACTCTTAGTCCCCGACTTTAATGTTTCCCACATTTAGTCCCTGAGTATTGTTAAATTGACACTTTTAGTCCCCCCATTATGATTTTGACACAATAAGTGGAGGGCTAAAAAAGTAACTATTATAATAGTTGAAGGACCAAAAGTGTCACTTTTATCAAAATTGAAGGACTAAATATGGAAATTTTCAAAGACGGGTACCAAAAGTGTCTCTAGCGCAATAGTCAAGGACTAAAAATGAAAAAAATCAAAGTCGAGTACCAAAAATGTCAATGACATAATAGTCGGAGGACTAAAAGTGGAAAAAACTCGTTCACACAGGCAGTTAATCAGAAGATTGGTTCTTTACTGGCCAAACAGCTCAATTGAGTATTTTTATTAGTAAGAAGTTCAATTGATTTATTATAAAGTATAAAGATTTAATTGACTTTTTTATGTATTAGGATGACTTATTTGATAAGTTTCCTTAAATTTTAAAGAAGCAAATGATGGAGTACTTCATTAAAAAAATTACAAAATTTTGGAAAACAATTCACCGGAAATCACCTCAAATGGTGGATTTTGCACGGTGGTTAGTGTCAGGAGCTCCTGACAGGAACATCAGTACGGTGTGTTAGGTGTGTGTGTGGCCCTGGCCTGGGTGTGTCCGTGCGTGGCATGCGTGTGTGGCATGCTTGTCGGTCGGGCGAATCGGGTAACAACAAAGCTTATTGTGCAAATATTTATAAGGTGCATGTTTACACTATTTGCATTTCATATTAGTGTTCAAAGTGTTGTATAATATTCTCTAATGAAATAAACAATTGCATATTTAGTGGTATATTGTCTTCCTTTTCATAAAAAAACATATTGCACATGTTTTCATATAAAAAAAAAAAAGTGGTACATTTTGTAGCATTGATTGATTACAAAATGAATCCGGATTAAAAAGATTTACTCATAGTTCATCTTGTCTTTTTATTCACTTAATTGCATTCCAAATTGCATAAACTTTTGTGAGAACCATATATTTTATAAAATTATAAATGAGAATGTATAATAAATAGTCAAAATAATTTGGCTGTTGGTCAATAAAGATATCATGAAAGTAACCCTAAATTACAAAACTTCGAAGAACTAATATCATATTTCATTCGTTCTTAAATAAGTGCAACATGTTGAATTTGACACTACTCACATGTTGTACTTTGACCACATCTTATTTATGCATGTATTAATAAATTGTTGTTTAAAAATATATTTTTAAATTTGACTCGTGGCAAATTTCAAAGTGTGGTTTTTTTGTTTTTTTTACTAATTAAGAATTAAATATATTAATGATCAAAGTTGTGTATGTAAAATGTGCATTATTGCATTTATTTAAAAATGGAGGTAATACAAATTACATGAGTATCTCTCAAAAACTATCTTGCTCTAAATTGAAATGGTGCATAATTCCATTTGCCATTTAGGCTATGTTTGGCTAGCCATTTCAGCTCAAAATGGGCTGAAATATTCTAAATTGAGCTAATTATTTTCATACTTCGTAGTAATCATGTTTGGCATTTGGCAAAGAGGCTTAAAAGGGCTGGATCTAAAATAATGGAGCTGAACCATATATAACACTACCCATGCTAGCGTTTCCCTTCAGCCTTGTACATGATTTACTTTTTTTCCTAGATTATCCCCGCGCCTTTATTTTCTCCTCAGCCGATCGTCTCTTTCTCTCGCAAATCACCTGCCTTTCTCAGTGTATGTATTCTTTAGCGAGAGAGGGAGAGGACGACGGATGATGGTGTGAGCACTCAAGATCACAGGATGAACAAATATAGGAGTGATGAAACTAGTTTAGTTTAGGAAGAAGAAATATAACACTGATATTGACTTTGTACGTAGTTAGTTAAAACATTTTTTTGAAGCATGATTCATTGTTTCGTTGTATTATTTTTTCTCATGTTTACTTTTATGTTTTAGAAAAAAACATACATAATGCTTAATATTTACTCCTCGATCTGAATTATAAAAAATTCTATCCTTACGGAGGCGAGAGCTTATCTCCCTAAAGTTTCGGAGCTCTCTAGGGCGGTGGCCGCTAGGGTTTCGTTTTCCGATTTCGAATCTTTCGAAGATCGGTGGTACTGGTGCGGTAAGGATGATCGAAAGAGGTCGACTGCAGATGGAGATGACTGGAGTCGGTAAGCAGGGGATTGGACGACTATTTCACGCAGATGAGTAGAGCCGAGCAGGGCAAGATACAGACAAATTGGCGATTGTTGATGTTGACGAAGGGGGCGGTCGAGTTGGAGGTGAACCGCATTGGTGCAACATCAGCCGTCGCAAGAGCCCGGCCTTCTCCAGAACCACCGCCAAGGGTTGATCGACGCGGTTTGGAGTTTGATTATTTATTTTTTCTACATTTTAATTTCCAGTTTAAGACGTTTGTGTGTTGTTTTATTTTATGCTGTAAGACTCTAATGGGGGATGAGAGGTCTACGATAACCGTCATTGGCTTTAAGTTGCCCAATTCAGGTCTAGCGAGTTATACTTCTTTTTTACAGATGGTTAACTCTCAGTCTCGGACACAGGCGGATGGTTACATGTGGTTATTTTATTATGATGTACCCCTGGTGAATGCTATTTGTATGGATTAAGCCCTCTTCGATAAAAAAAATTACTCCTAAAAACTACTACGTATAAAAATATTTAATATTATAAATCATTATAATACATATTTTATTAAGAATATATGTTCTTTAATGTAATTTCACATTACCCGTATACCTTTTCATCTATTCTTGCCAAACGAGTTTACTTTATTCAGTTAGCAATTCAAATTCGGCACTTCAAAGTTCAGCTCCAGACAATAATCTCTGATTCAGACAATAGCCTCTATTTCAGACATTAGTCTCCAGCTCCGGCTCGTTCTGACAAACATAGTCTTACTTTAACTCCAACGACTTCTAGCATCGTAGTAATTCCATTCTCTAGATTCCATATGACATTTACTGGTTGACTTTAACTCCAACGACTTCTAGCATACGGTCCAAGTCAATTAGTTATTTCTAAATAAAAGTTTTACACCCATAATAAGCATTAATTTCATGCATAATTGCATATACTCCGTAATACAGTAAAAAGTAGACATTTTTTGTTAGTTAAATTCCAAAAAGGGATTACCTTTTAAAAAAAAAAGTGTCTATCTTTCAAAAAGCAAAGTAAACTATTGATAATTCCGTGATTAGCATCAATTTCTGAAGTCAAAGCTTTTATGCCAGTATTGAAACAAATCGGCAGATCAGGCGGGAGCACTGATATGAATATACAATGGAGAAGGGAGAAAGAGTGAAGGTAGCAGCTCTTAAACTCGCCTCTTGCGTCACGCTTGCAATCTACATTTTCTTAGCGTCCAAACTTCATCATCGTAAAAGACGAAGTTGCAGAAATCTTTTGTCATCACCTCCTCCGTGTTATCTCAGAGCATAGCCCAATCCTCAGTACGATTTCAACACCTCAGCCTCCATCCCGCCAACACCTCCACCGCCGGTAACCGCCACAACTTTGTTTTGTTTCATTTGTTGCTGGAAAAACTAAACTTTAAATTTTTGTACTGTTAATCAATCATCTTGACATTTAGGAGCAAGGAGAGACTAGAAACATATGAGTTTATAAGGCCTGGATAAACTATCTCATGGAACTTGTGCAAATATGCAATCATTAAAATTTGCTCAATTGTGTGCATTTGGATCACTCAACTGAATTATATATAGGCACTTAGGACAGATCACACTAAAAAGGAACAACTTCCACCAATTAGATCATTCTTTTCAAGATTAATTACTTGTCTCATTTAGAACTCTATCAACTACGAGTGTGTAATATGAATTCGGTGTGTTTGACAGAGAAATGCACGGGTCTGCATCCATACATGACAGAGATTTCGGCATTGGTGAAGGAGCCGAATGTGAAAGCTTTGGAGAATTATAATGAGAAATTGGATGAGTTAAAGAGGCGTGGTTCGTATGTGTGGGTGGAAACCGGGTCACAGTTGCAGGAGTTGGCTGATGTCTTGAGTGGGGAAATGATATTTGGTGTAGATGTGGAGCATGATAGTGTGAGATCCTTCTTAGGTTTGATCTGCTTAGTTCAGGTTCACATATTGACTTTTTTACGGTCTATTTTGTACACCTTTACTCAATATTCCTCTTAGTAATTTGTCTCTATGTGTGTGCATAAGCTATATATATTATACATATGTATAGAATTTGGATCAAATAAGAAATGACCTAAGGAGAGAAATGAAAATGAATACGGAGCAACAAATTTTAAATTGTGCATTTTCTAAATCGAAAGATGCATTCTCATAAATGAAAAAACATGGAGTCATTTTTTTAAATGAAGTGATTTTTTTCTGCTATTGCGAAAAAACATGTAAACTCTATGAGCCTAGATTTACACCACTTTGCATCATTCTCATTTTTCATCGGAAGAGCCATTCTAACCTGAACCGAACCATTCTCATATGTATTTCTCATATATACAAATTCTGATGTTGGCTTTGGATGGGCAAAATAGATATCAACAAAGAGGGAGGATTATCTTGTTGATGCAATAGCCCTCCATCACTTGATGGACATCCTTCGGCCTATATTTGCTGGTCCAGGGATTTGTAAGGTAATTCGTTTAGACTGTGTATGGAATTGAGAATTTATATGTAAAGAGAATTGTCTTTCTTTGTGTGTGTTTACATTGGAAATTATGAAAGACTCAAAGTTGACTATTTTTTAAAATTCCACGTATGTGCGGGTTATAAATTTCCATCAACTCCAATAGCCTAAGACTCACTATTTTATGGCTTGGGAATGTGATGGAACAAAACAGAATGACTCACTAAACTGTGCACACTTCTTTCTTATGTAGCAGCCGTCAGTTTATGCAAAATTTTCGATGCAATTTTCATCATGGGTCATCCGGAAACAGCCTCTCTGTGCTTTAGTACAGGGGTATGGCTGCGTTCATCCGAACCCCCTTACCCCACCATAGGTGAGAGCCTTTGCGGCACTGGGGTAATGTTATTGTTGTTGTTGTTGTTGCAGGAATGCGGGTTATAAATAAAACATGTTCATTAAAATATCTGAAATTGATCTATTGATTTTCCCCAAAAATTTGATCCCGGATTGATCCTTGATGAAATGTTGCAGGCCATTAAGGTTTTGTGTGTTTGATTCTTCGTTTATTATTGGATTTTTAGCTTTGCCCTTTTTTATGAAACTAGTATGCCTTTTTTCATCGATTATCTTTGTTTGTGCATTAGGTATTCCATGCAGCTGATAATGATGTTCTCTGGCTTCAAAGAGATTTTCATATTTATGTTGTTAACCTATTTGACACTGCAAAGGTAAAGTTTGTCAAAAAAAAAATATAACCACCTTAAAGTTTTTCTAGCCGTCAAGATTAGTAGATTACTGCTCCTTGTGATTTTATAAAGGTTTCAATGTTTCATATTGCAGGCATGTCATGTTTTGTCTAAACCGCAGAACTCATTGGCATACTTGTTGAAAACTTATTGTGGTGTCATTACAAATAAACAATTGCGAGTAAGGTTCAAGGTTCAGTTATTGCAATCTCTTTCTCGCACAATATAAACCATATCGTTTCATTCCCATATTGGATTGGGTAAATGGGCATTTGTATGTGATATAATAATTCATTATTGAGTCAGGGTCACACAATTCAGTTATTATAATGAAAATTGTTGAACTACATGGTGTAACGTGTTAAAACAGCTTACAATATTTGAAGATTTAAATGACAGAGAGAAGATTGGAGGCAACGTCCTCTGCCAGAAGAAATGCTGCATTATGCTAAAAAGGATTCACACTATCTGATGTACATTGCGTGTTGTGTTTATAAGGAGCTGAAGATACACGATTTAGGTATTCTAAATTTATTTTTTTCTATGAATATATCCTATGAATTTCACATTTCCTATCTATAGGTTTCTTCTTTACTTGCTTCTTTATGCACAGAAAGTTCACCATGTCTCAAAAACAAATTGACTTTTGTTCTTGAGGCAACTTGTTTGCAACTATTCTCAATACTGATTGAAGCATATCCGGGATACTCTGCTGCTTCGTCAATAATTTCTCGATGTCATCGGTACCACGGAAATCTCCCTTCCAACTTTGTCAATGCAAAGGTCTTATACTGTCAGTGTTAAGAAAATCTTCCACTTTTAGCCGCACGACTATTTAAGTCATTCCAATTTTTTTGTCTAGGGCATTCATTTTTCAACTTTGGGTTCACAAATGTAGAGTTTTTTTTTTTACTTTTTCTACTTCTGGTCACTCTAATCAATCAAGTGCCAAATTCTGCAATTCTTTCAATTTTTGCCACTTTAAAAACTGAAAAGGACCAAATATGACACAAAGTCATGGTAATGAACCAACAGGGGCAATAATGAAAGCCTGGACTAAAAATTGTAAATAGAGTGTAATAGTCGTGTGATTAAAATTTTTTAAGTTTCAATCTTTAATTGGAAGAGTTTGTTAGATATATACCACTAAATGCTATTAACCTTATATCTTTTATGATCGATTTGGCATTTAGTTTCATGACCTTGTGAGCAGACTGTGTGCATGGAGACATATTATGGTGAGTCATGACTCATGAGTAGACTACTATTATTTTCAGTCACTGGTTTCTTTATCTGTTAATTCACGTGTTATGGTTTTCTTAGTTGGACATACTTACATAATCTCATTTTAACTTCATAATATAATTTGATATTCTTTTAGGCTCGAGTTCATGATGAAAGTTTAAGATAAGTTTTATCTGATCAAGCACTTGTTGCACTAGCAGCTAAAGCCCCTACAGATGTTAGAGATGTACGCAAAATCATATCTCAACCCCATCCAAGTGTGGATCACATATCATCATTCCAATCTCCATCATCTCTAGCTTGTAGTCATATGGAAGACCTTATGAGTCACTTATTTCAAGATGAAGTAGGTGAGGATGGGGAAAGCCTTCTTGAAATCCTTCAGAAATGCTTAGGTGCTAATGGAAGTTGTCCTCTCTTCGCCTATAATATTGCTTTGTTATCTGAAAGTAGCTTGGAAGTGGCCGACAGATCTGTGGTTAGAAATAAATCTGCAAAATCATCCCTAGCTCGGAAGGCTCTTCAAGAGCTATTTGACAAAACAAAGGATTGCAAATCTCCAGTCTATGACAACTGTAGGATCTATACAAGTGATGGTCGGTTTTTAAGTTTCTGTGGCCGTAGAAAACTCGAGTGGTTAATACAAATTTCATACACTTTTCTTAAATCAAGCCCGACAGCATATTAGACTTGGAACACGAGTCTCAACTCAAAGTCTTGTTCATCACTGCACTCTCTTTTTAGTTTACTCAATACTACGTATGAATCTCTAATTCTCCCCTCCCTTTAAGTGGACGACTGAACCATTTTGAATCTAACCAATTGGTCACTACCATTTCGGACAGACTAGACAAACAAATTGGGCTAAGCCTGCTTTACTATGATAGAAATCAGGATTGTATTGAGATTCTCTGAGCCAAACCATACTATAACATCGATGTGCAGCTTGTGAGTCACAAGATGAATCTGCAAAGCAGCGCTAAAGCAACCCGGGATGAGCAAAAGGCTAATGATCGTACTACTGTAAGCCGCTATGTTTATGTACTCTCTCACGCACACAGTTTGCATGCAATTTTGTTATGCATGTCTTCAGAGTTGAGATCAAGTATTTATTTGCTTCATGTTGTTTCCTTGTCTCTTAAGGATGCTACCATTTGTTAAATTTTCAATTCATTTTGTGACTTGGTAGTACAATCCGTTCTTACTCCAGGTGTCTTGAGATTGGATCATAGAGGCATAAACTCTCATCATTAATATTAATATAGTATAATAATACTAGATTATAAGAATTGTTCATAAATAAATATATTAAATCATTTACATGCTATTGTATTTTTTTCACAAAAAGGGTGCTCCACATGGTGACTGTCCCAATTGCTCTACATATGGTAATCTGTCTCATGCACTTCAACTTTTTGTTCTTGTAGCGGATGAAACGAATGTTAGCTTAGGTGTTCAATTATAAAAGATGAGTTTAAAGATTAATTTGTTAAAACTTGTTGTATATCAGTTTTAGCAGTTATTTTTTGTGGGTTGATACTGAATGATTGTTTTCCTCTACTAACCATAGTGTCAAAAGGCCGTTGGGTTGGTGTATAATGACATTATGATGAAGCATATTGGTCCCAAAGGCCACTGGGAGAAACCTGAAAGGATAAAAGCAATATGGCAACATCTGAAGAAAAACCGATTGGATTCCAAGAAAAAAATAGAAAATAAAGTGCAAACTGATTTTTAAAGCTATTCTAACATGATTTCTTTAAGCTTTTGTAATTAAATAATTTTGTCTTTTAGGTTGCAACATTTTGTCTAGAAGCCCCTGAAGAATGGATAGAGCGAGTACATTCACAGCAGTACTTCCAAGAAGTAATGAACTGTGAAGTCAGGAATCGGGAAAGAAAGAATATACTTGAGAAGTATAATAATGTAGATTCTCATGACATGTACTTAAGCCGAGGTTCTCGTGAAGCCATACTCAATGAACTCTTTGCTTGAATAAAAAAAAATTGCAGATGTTGTACATGAACTTTCAGCAGAATCCTATTTTTGTGCAGTTTTTACCACATTTTTCCTTTGTTCTTGAATAAATGCAACACAATCCTTTTTTGACAGTTTCAAAATAATTACAACATTCCATTTCTGGTAAGAAAAAGATGGTACAAGGACTCCAATATCTTTACCCACACCATTTAATATTCATCTTAATTGTTTAACCATTTGTATCCTGCCAACTAATGTCCTCACCCACTCATAATAAAAAAAATATTTGATTATGCTTCTTCTCTCCAACTTTCACCTTATAGAGTTGTATCTGGAAATCATACCAACACACGAGCTATTTTCCATTTCATACCCCCTCCTTTAATTTTCCATCTCAATTTTCCTCCTCCCCCGCCTTCACCCTGCCTTTAATTTTCCATCGCCATTTTTTCTTCTTCTAGTTATTCATCTAGAGAATAGCTTTGAGATCGTGAATGTCGATGATAAATCTTTTTTCTCCGGAAACTTCCCTTCAATATCTAAACACATGCAACACAAATTTGGTGTTCCAGACACTTTTCCATTATAGAGAGCTGTATATGGAAATACCAACTCACGAGCTCTTTTCCATTTCATACCCTTTCCTTTAACTTTTCCATCTCAATTGTCCTCCTCCCCCTGCCCTCACCCTGCCTTTAATTTTCCATCGCAATTTTTTGTTCTTCTAGTTCTGCATCTAGAGAACCGCCCTGAGATCGTGAATGCTGATGATAAATATTTTCTCTCCAGAAACTTCCCTTCAATTTCTAAACACAGGCAACATAAATTTGGTGTTCTAGACACTTTCTCACAAATATGGTGTGCCACACACTCTCACAAATCTGGTGTTCCAGAATCTTTCTAAAGAAATCGCCAATTCTACATCAAAGCCTCAAAGGGATTTAATACCATACGGCGGAATTTGTTGACCAAGTTGGAATCCCTCCATGATAAAGCTGACATCAAGTTCTCACACATCAGAAGAGTTCAAAGAGAGAGAGAAGAAGCATGTCAAATTGTCAACTTTACCGGGAAGAAGATTAACAAAACCATAGCTAGCTATAGTAGCTGGATCTGCAATGCCAAGCTATTAAAGAGTGTATCACTTTTTACCCATCCAAGTAATACATGTGTAGCCTACTAGTCTAGGGTAAAATGGGAAATAAAATTACCTATTCTAAATTTCTTAAAATCCGTTCCTTTCTCCATGTTGCATTTAAATCCGAACGGAGGAGGTGTGCTGGTACTTGTTTTGCTTTTATATTTGTAAAATACTTGATTTGCTGTGTATCAGCTGTTTTCTCAATTTTTAACATTTTCTAGGCGGTCCAAGAGGTTGCAAATCGAACTGTTCAATCAGCTTTTGCCGTGGTCCGACCTCCCGGACACCATGCTTCTAGGGAGAAAGCCGAAGTTTTTTGCTGGTTGAACAATATGGCTATTGGTGCAACTTTTCTTCTTGATGTTAGTACATCTATAAGTATTATTTGGTGTATAAAATAAATAAATTGTCAGGCGTTGTGTTGTTTTACTAATGTTACTCTGATTCTTTTATAGGTGAAAAAATATAACAAAATATTGATAGTTGATTGGGATCACCAGGGGAATGGTATCAGAGCATATTCGAGAGTGATCCCAGAGTTTTATATTTCTCAATCCATAGGTAAAATTTTATATATCAATAACATTACTTGTGTTGTTAAGTTTTTAATTTTCCAATTATTTATGTCAATATTTTTTATATAAAAAGAAACCAGTTTCATTACTAAAATGGACGGACACGGGGGTAAGCTAGCCGTCCATGTTACAAGTCAGAGGAAAGGTAAATCCCAAAACACAAATCTAATCTACAGTTTGGGCAAATCAAAATACTAGCAAAATATAATCTATTTTTAAACAAGACCATCATGGCTTCTATTAACTCCTCCGTATTGCACAATTGTATCTTATAACATTGCCGTCAACAGTTAATGTATGACCCTTTTATTAAATGAAATACTCTGCACCTCGATAAAAAAACTCTGCACCTTTTTAAGTTACAACTACATTAGAAAGATAGAACAAAGGAAAACCGCCTCAAGATATTGTCTCAAGGGAAACGCCTGGACGTACGAGGCAATGTAAGTTTTAGTTTTTCAGATTTGGGTTAAACATTATGATTTCCAAATCCAAATTGTGTCTTTTTTTGTGTTTTGTTGATGTGTGATCCAATCCTTGTGTTTAATCTTGAATAAGATTTATGATATGTGATGATATGATCCAATTATGTGTTTGTGATTGAGACTTTCCGGACTTATAATTGTGCATATCTTTAGTTTAAACATAACCGTTTACAATTAAATCTATTCAGAGATTTACTACCCTCGTCATGTATATAAATAATGATAGGATCAGATCCATGAAGTGTACAGGTTTGCTACTAAAATGTTGGACCCACATAACGTAACTTACTCTATTTTTTGGATTTTTCTTTATTCCGTTGAATGTAGTAGGATTATTATTTGTTGGAATTTCAGGCTTATGCCTCACGCCCTCATTGCACCTCAAGGCTTGGGCCTTGCCTCCCCAAAACAAACCGCCCCTGCTTAACACTCAAAACTACCCTCTCTAAACCTTAGACATTGTTGGGATTACCATGGCCTATTTTTCCTATTACTAACACAAACATTTCTATAGATTGAGAGTCTATTTATTTGATGGCTAGGACCTATGTAGCACCGATACCGGTACGCGGAAACGTGGAAACGGGTACGGGGATACGTCAAAACAAAAAAAAAGTAGGATACGAATATGAGGCCATATTTATAAATATTAAAAGTTATGAGGGTGTATTTACAAATATTAAAAGTTATAGGGGTCTATTTATAAATATTAAAAATAGTTTTTTTTTGAATATATATATATATATATATACACACACACACACACATATAATATCCTATTATGTCTACCCATTCATTGCATTGAAGCATTTTCCTTTTTCAAAATACTTAGTAATAAATTCATAATATTTCTCATATACACTAGTCTCGAAATATAAATATAGTCAAACAACTACAATCTTGAAATTAAAAGTGCAAGTATCCGATTCAGAGTATGAGTTAATAACTTAATTCGGATATAGCCATATAGGCCCATTATTTGATTACCAAGTAAAATGTAGTTTTAGATTTTCATTTTTTTTTTAGAATTTTATTAAGTAAATTTTGGAATTTTTTTTATAAAAAAGTTGATACGGGTATCCGTCCGGATACGAGTATCGGAAACTTTCAAAAAATTACAAAAAAAAATGAAAACTTTTAAAAATTGCAGATACGGCCCGAAAACGTTTGGTACGGGTATCTTAGATTATCGAATACAGGAACGTATTTGATACGCTACCCTAGCGAAGTATCCGTGCTTCATAGGCTAGGACTATTATTTTTAGCATAAACAGGGACTTTACTTCGCCAACAAGATCATATAATTTTAGGCTTAACTTGAGGGAAAAAAGAACAAAAAACATCAGAAGACATAGACAAGGTCCACACCTAAGGTGTCTCTCAAGGATGAGACCCTTCTGTCGTGATAAAAAAAAGTATGCCATATCACAATCATGCCCATGGTCAGATGCCATATCACAATCACGCCCATGGTCAGATGTTTTGTACTAGTTTGTCTTTTTCTGACTTCTGATGTTGGTCTAGTTATTTTAGTTGACAAAATGTATAGCTCAAGGCTTAAGCATTTTTCTACTGTTCTATGGCGAATACATTTAGCATAAAAATTAGATGTCGTGAAAGAAAATGTAAGCATGGAGCTCATTAAATTTTCTTATTTAATGGTAATCTATAATTCTTAATTGATATTCGGAAGTTGTTTTAATGATTTTAATTGACATTATAGATATGGGACGCGTAAGGAGCCTTTTTACCCCAGGACAGGAAATTTTAAGGAAACGGGCAGCGGAGATGGATTGGAGTATACCATCAATGTTTCGCTCGTGGGCAAAGATTTTAACGATAAAGGATATTGTCTGGTTTGGGATTTAATATTATCACCCATTGCCAGACGATATAAGCCTCAAATTATTCTTATATCCGCAAGATTTGATGCGGGTAAGAAAACATATGTTAGGCTCATCTATTTTATTTATACAATTTCATATAAGGTTATAACAATAATTCTTTTCCTTTTACACAGCGGTTGGAGACCCCATTGGTCTTTCCTCTATCACACCATCGGTTTTTGCGATGTTGCTCAAGAAGGTATATGTTCTTTACTTGTATTTTCTGCTTTCATGTTCTGCTGGGTCAGTTTAAGGTAGATTCTTATTTTCCATTATTCATCAGCCGTACACCTTGAATTTAACACCTTTCAGTGATATTGTAATTTTGTTTACAATAGGCGATGATGACACTCCGTCAACTCTGATGCCCCTACTTTCACTCTTGCATCATTGTTATTTTCAGGGAGCCACTTACAGGCTTCTGCAAAAGTCAGACATGCAATTTTAAATTTTGATTCCCTACTATTGTTTTGGATGTTTTAGGAAGGCTTGCATGGTGTAAAAATGTTATCAGATTCTTCTCTTTTTATTACATAGACAAATAGAAGTCGTTTGAACATTCCCCCTAATCTTAACAACACAATCCACATAAAACCACTCCACCCTCCAATTTAGGAGGCTGTTATAGGATATTTTAGGAAGGCTTTCATGGTGTAACTAACAAAATATTTACCCTCACAAAAATCACCACATTTGAATTTCAATCGATAATTTTGTGAACTCCTATGTTTAAGGGAAATTCATAAGAATGATATCTATCAGTTATAGGGAAGCTTGGTAGAATGAGATCTATTTCAGACTGTGGTTAGGTGTTTTATTTGTCCTTCAAAATAAGAACCATTGCAAATTAAGTTTTACCTAACATACTTGGTAAGATCACTTTTCATATTTATAGATATATATTTTTTGATTCGGTTCAGCTCATGCAAATTAAAGGAAAAATAGTACTTGTTCTGGAAGGAGGTTACAACTTGGAAGTATTACCTACATGTGTCACAATGTGTATTCGTCAACTTTTAGGGGATGATGGAACCATTTATATAGACCGATCAATTGAACGTGATAATGTTAAAGAACAAATTCATAAGGTAATCTTTAAGCAAAAGCATAAATCTTATACTTTCTTGATTTTTTTCTTTCTAATATTGTTATTGAAAAACAGGTTCAGTCCTATCTTGCGAAAAAGTTTCCAAACATATGGACATATTTGGCTGAACATAACCAAGAGAGCGTGTCTAGGTTCAATGTAAGGCCTAAACAATTTCTTTTTGTCTCAATTAATATCTTCATGTGGTCTTTATGTATATTTTAACTATTTTATTCTGTTTCCATCAACAGCCCGTGCCAGGTTTGGGTGCAAGCGTTCAGGTTTGTTCCTTTTATAAAAAGATAATATCTATTTTATTCATTTATCGTTGATTAATATGCATTCATAGACAGTGCCATAGACTTATTGTTGTTGTTGTTGTTATTATATACTATATACTACTATATTCATGATTATTTTTATTATAATTATAGTAATAATTCATGTAGTTTTGTGGTTTTTATTATTATATGCTTTGTTACTGAGTAAGTTAACTCACTATTTGGTGGCAACACTGTCAAACCAAAGATATTCAATACTCTATAGCAGTATACTGATCCAGGCCGTTTGAGTCTTGTGTACCAGCGACACAAAAAGGCCTGGATCGGTATACTGCTGTAGAGTATTGGATATCTTTGGTTCGACAGTGTTGCCACCAAATAGTGAGTTAACTTACTCAGGAACAAAGCATATGATAATAAAAACCACAAAACTACATGAATTATTACTATAATAATTATAATAAAAATAATCATGAATACAATATATATAGTATATAATAACCATAATAATAATAATAATAATAAATCTATGGCGCTGTCTATGAACGCATATTAATCAACGATAAATGGGCAAAATAGATATTATCTCTTTTTATAAAAGGAACAAACCTGAACGCTTGCACCCAAACCTGGCACGGGTTGTTGATGGAAACAGAATAAAATAGTTAAAATATACAAAAAAAGCCACATGAAGATATTAATTGAGACAAAAAGAATTTGTTTAGACCTTACATTGAACCTAGAAACGCTCTCTTGGTTATTTTCAACCAAATATGTCATAGGTTTGGAAACTTTTTCGCAAGATAAGACTGAGCCTGTTTTTCAATAACAATATTAGAAAGAAAAAAAATCAAGAAAGTATAAGATTTATGCTTTTGCTTAAAGATTACCTTATGAATTTGTTCTTTAACATTATCCCGTTCAATTGATCGGTCTATATAAGTGGTTCCATCATCCCCTAAAAGTTGACGAATACACATTGTGACACATGTAGATAATACTTCTAAGTTGTAACCTCCTTCCAGAACAAGTACTATTTTTCCTTTAATTTGCATGAGCTGAACCGAATCAAAAAATATATATCTATAAATCTGAAAAGTGATCCATACCAAGCATGTTAGGTAAAACTTAATTTGCAATGGTTCTTATTTTGAAGGACAAATAAAACACCCAACCATAGTCTAAAATAGATCTCATGCTACCAAACTTCCCCATAACTGATAGATATCATTCTTATGAATTTCCTTTTAACATAGGAGTTCACAAAATTATCGATTGGAATTCAAATGTGGTGATTTTTGTGAGGGGAAATATTTTGTTAGTTACACCATGAAAGCCTTCCTAAAACATCCTATAGCAGCCTCCTAAATTGGAGGGTGGAGTGGTTTTATGTGAATTGTGTTGTTAAGATTAGGGGGAATATTCAAAAGGCTTCTATTTGCCTATGCAGCAAAAAGAGAAAAATCTGATAACATTTCTACACCATGCAAGCCTTCCTAAAACATCCAAAACAAAAGTAGAGAATCAAAATTTAAAATTGCATGTCTGACTTTTGCATAAGCCTGTAAATGGCTCCCTCTAAATAACAATGATGCAAGAGTGAAAGTAGGGGCATCAGAGTTGTTATATTATGACGGAGTGTCATCATCGCCTATTGTAAACAAAATTATAATGCCACTGAAAGGTGCTAAAATTCAAGATGTACGGCTGATAAACAATAGAGAATAAAAAATGGAAAATAAGAATCTACCTTAAACTGACCCAGCAGAACATGAAAGCAGAAAATAAAAGTAAAGAACATATACCTTCTTGACCAACATCGCAAAACCCGATGGTGTAATAGAGGAAAGACCAATGGGGTCTCCAACCGTTGTGTAAAAGGAAAAGAATTATTGTTATAACCTTATATGAAATTGTATAAACAAAATAGATAAGCCTAACATATGTTTTCTTACCCGCATCAAATCCTGCGGATATAAGAATAATTTGAGGCTTATATTGTCTGGCAATGGGTAATAATATTAAATCCCAAGCCTGCCCACGAGCGAAACATTGATGGTATACCCCAATTCATCTCCGCTGCCTGTTTTCTTAAAATCTCCTGTCCTGGGGTAAAAAGGCTCCTTACGCGTCCCATATCTATAATGTCAATTAATATTAAAATCATTAAAACAACAGCTTCCGAATATCAATTAAGAATTATAGATTACCATTAAATAAGAAAATTTAATGAGCTCCATGCTTACATTTTCTTTCACGACATCTAATTTTTATGCTAAATGTATTCGCCATAGAACAGTAGAAAAATGCTTAAGCCTTGAACTATACATTTTGTCAACTAAAATAACTAGACCAACATCAGAAGTCAGAAAAAGATAAACTAGTACAAAACATCTGACCTTGGACATGATTGTGATATGGCAGGCTTTTTTATTATGCTAAAAATAATAGTCCTAGCCATCAAATAAATAGACTCTCAATCTATAGAAATGTTTGTGTTAGTAATAGGAAAAATAGGCCATGGTAATCCCAACAATGTCTAAGGTTTAGAAAGTGTAGTTTTGGATGTTAAGCAGGGGCGGTTTGTTTTGGGGAGGCAAGGCCCAAGCCTTGAGGTGCAATGAGGGCGTGAGGCATAAGCCTGAAATTCCAACAAATAATAATCCTACTACATTCAACGGAATAAAGAAAAATCCAAAAAATAGAATAAGTTACGTTATGTGGGTCCAACATTTTAGTAGCAAACCTGTACACTTCATGGATCTGATCCTATCATTATTTATATACATGACGGGGGTAGTAAATCTCTGAATAGATTTAATTGTAAACGGTTATGTTTAAACTAAAGATATGCACAATTATAAGTCCGGAAAGTCTCAATCACAAACACATAACTGGATCATATCATCACATATCATAAATCTTATTCAAGATTAAACACAAAGATTGGATCACACATCAACAAAACACAAAAAAAGACACAATTTGGATTTGGAAATCATAATGTTTAACCCAAATCTGAAAAACTAAAACTTACCTTGCCTCGTACGTCCAGGCGTTTCCCTTGAGGCAATATCTTGAGGCGGTTTTCCTTTGTTCTATCTTTCTAATGTAGTTGTAACTTAAAAAGGTGCAGAGTTTTTTTATCGAGGTGCAGAGTATTTCATTTAATAAAAGGGTCGTACATTAACTGTGATACAATTGTGCAATACGGAGGAGTTAATAGAAGCCATGATGGTCTTGTTCAAAAATAGATTATATTTTGCTAGTATTTTGATTTGCCCAAACTGTAGATTAGATTTGTGTTTTGGGATTTACCTTTCCTCTGACTTGTAACATGGACGGCTAGCCTACCCCCGTGTCCGTCCATTTTAGTAATGAAACTGGTTTTTTTTTATATAAAAAATATTGACATAAATAATTGGAAAATTAAAAACTTAACAACACAAGTAATGTTATTGATATATAAAATTATACCTATGGATTGAGAAATATAAAACTCTGGGATCACTCTCGAATATGCTCTGATACCATTCCCCTGGTGATCCCAATCAACTTTCAATATTTTGTTATATTTTTTCACCTATAAAAGAATCAGAGTAACATTAGTAAAACAACACAACGCCTGACAATTTATTTATTTTATACACCAAATAATACTTATAGATGTACTAACATCAAGAAGAAAAGTTGCACCAATAGCCATATTGTTCAACCAGCAAAAACCTTCGGCTTTCTCCCTAGAAGCATGGTGTCCGGGAGGTCGGACCACGGCAAAAGCTGATTGAACAGTTCGATTTGCAACCTCTTGGACCGCCTACAAAATGTTAAAAATTGAGAAAACAGCTGATGCACAGCAAATCAAGTATTTTACAAATATAAAAGCAAAACAAGTGCCAGCACACCTCCTCCGTTCGGATTTAAATGCAACATGGAGAAAGGAACGGATTTTAAGAAATTTAGAATAGGTAATTTTATTTCCCATTTTACCCTAGACTAATAGGCTACACATGTATTACTTGGATAGGTAAAAAGTGATACACTCTTTAATAGCTTGGCATTGCAGATCCAGCTACTATAGCTAGCTATGGTTTTGTTAATCTTCTTCCCGGTAAAGTTGACAATTTGACATGCTTCTTCTCTCTCTCTTTGAACTCTTTGGTCAACAAATTCCGCCGTATGGTATTAAATCCCTTTGAGGCTTTGATGTAGAATTGGCGATTTCTTTAGAAAGATTCTGGAACACCAGATTTGTGAGAGTGTGTGGCACACCATATTTGTGAGAAAGTGTCTAGAACACCAAATTTATGTTGCCTGTGTTTAGAAATTGAAGGGAAGTTTCTGGAGAGAAAATATTTATCATCAGCATTCACGATCTCAAGGCGGTTCTCTAGATGCAGAACTAGAAGAACAAAAAATTGCGATGGAAAATTAAAGGCAGGGCGAGGGCAGGGGGAGGAGGACAATTGAGATGGAAAAGTTAAAGGAAAGGGTATGAAATGGAAAAGAGCTCGTGAGTTGGTATTTCCATATACAGCGCTCTATAATGGAAAAGTGTCTGGAACACCAAATTTGTGTTGCATGTGTTTAGATATTGAAGGGAAGTTTCCGGAGAAAAAAGATTTATCATCGACATTCACGATCTCAAAGCTATTCTCTAGATGAAGAACTAGAAGAAGAAAAAATGGCGATGAAAAATTAAAGGCGGGGGAGGAGGAAAATTGAGATGGAAAATTAAAGGAGGGGGTATGAAATGGAAAATAGCTCGTGTGTTGGTATGATTTCCAGATACAACTCTATAAGGTGAAAGTTGGAGAGAAGAAGCATAATCAAATATTTTTTTTATTATGAGTGGGTGAGGACATTAGTTGGCAGGATACAAATGGTTAAACAATTAAGATGAATATTAAATGGTGTGGGTAAAGATATTGGAGTCCTTGTACCATCTTTTTCTTACCAGAAATGGAATGTTGTAATTATTTTGAAACTGTCAAAAAAGGATTGTGTTGCATTTATTCAAGAACAAAGGAATAATGTGGTAAAAACTGCACAAAAATAGGATTATGCTGAAAGTTCATGTACAACATCTGCAATTTTTTTTATTCAAGCAAAGAGTTCATTACTTACTGTTACAACACCACCCGCTGCATTGAGCATGGCTTCACGAGAACCTCGGCTTAAGTACATGTCATGAGAATCTACATTATTATACTTCTCAAGTATATTCTTTCTTTCCCGATTGCTGACTTCACACTTCATTACTTCTTGGAAGTACTGCTGTGAATGTACTCGCTCTATCCATTCTTCAAGTGCTTCTAGACATGGCAAATGTTGCAATCTAAAAGACAAAATTATTTAATTACAAAAGCTTAAAGAAATCATGTTAGAATAGCTTTAAAAATCAGTTTACACTTTATTTTCTATTTTTTACCTGGAATCCAATCGGTTTTTCTTCAGATGTTGCCATATTGCTTTTATCCTTTCAGGTTTCTCCCAGTGGCCTTTGGGACCAATATGCTTCATCATAATGTCATTATACACCAACCCAACGGCCTTTTGACACTATGGTTAGTAGAGGAAAACAATCATTCAGTATCAACCCACAAAAAATAACTGCTAAAACTGATATACAACAAGTTTTAACAAATTAATCTCTGAACTCATCTTTTATCATTAAACACCTAAGCTAACATTCGTTTCATCCGCTACAAGAACAAAAAGTTGAAGTGCATGAGACAGATTACCATCTGCAGAGCAATTGGGACAGTCACCATGTGTAGTACACTTTTTGTGAAAAAAATACAACAGCATGTAAATGATGTACTCCCTTCGTCCCTATTATATCTTCCAAATAGGTTTGGCACAGAGTTTAAGATAGTGGGTATTGTGTGGTGGAGAGTTGTGCAGAGGAGAGAGAAATGTGTAAGAATTGCTGTGAACCACAAATTCTGGCCAAAAAAGGAAAGTGGCAGTTTTAATTGGGACGGACGAAAAAGGAAATTTGGAAGTTTATTTAGGGACGGAGGGAGTAATATAGTTATTTATGAACAATTCTGATCATCTAGTATTATTATACTATATTAATGATGAGAGTTTATGCCTCTATGATCCAATCTCATGACACCTGGAGTAAGAACAGATTGTACTACCAAGTCACAAAATGAATTGAAAATTTAACAAATGGTAGCATCCTTAAGAGACAAGGAAACAACATGAAGCAAATAGATACTTGATCTCAACTCTGAAGACATGCATAACAAAACCGCATGCAAACTGTGTGAGTATATATATGTGTGTGCGTGAGAGAGAGAGAGTACATAAACAAAGCGGCTTACAGTAGTACGATCATTAGCCTTCTGCTCATACCGGGTTGCTTTAGCGCTGCTTCGCAGATTCATCTTGTGACTCACAAGCTGCACATCAAGCTTTCTATCAATTCAAGATGCAGTACTAGTGGGAAATATACAATTGATTCTTTATATATGCCCAGTATTGAGGAACGTGTCGTGGGTAAGAGGATTGGAAAGGAAACATGAAGGTGGTATGAATTTCTCGAGTGTGGACTGTTTTCCAAGGTGCAAGGTAAAGACAAAAAATAGTTGTAAAATTGAGATGATGATGAACTCTTCAAAAACTCCCTTGCACCGACGCAAATCAATTTTTAAAGATTAGGGTGTGCATTCAGAAATATATTTCCCATAAAACAACAAAATGTTTGCAAAAACAGATATTTCCATTCCTTTAAAAGTAACATTATGAATGGAGGACAAACCGGTTGAAAACCATGTGTGTGAGCGCTAATTCCACAAACTTAGATTTCTAAGCATCCCAATGATGTTAAAGAAATCTGCTACAAGGATAGTGTAAATTCTATTGAGGTCATATATAATGATGCATAGCCACAAAATCATAGTATATGCTTCTAGAAAAAATTACGAAACAAAAAGGCAGTTTCAAAATTAGTTATTTTCATACAATAACAAAAAGCTATATTTATATATTTTATTTCCTTTGAAAAACAACAGGAGTTTGGAATAAACAACCAGCTACCATACATCTATCAGAACTAAGAAACTTTGGTAAGGGCAATACCTCAATATGCATAAAACAAAAATAAAATGAGTATGTGTGTTTGAGTGGGTAATTATGATGGAAGTTGTGCATACAAAATACAGCTTAATCACAAATATTAATTCATGGTATAAGACAGTGTATAAATGTTGGAAAAAACCTTAAATGCAGTTTGGGATTCTGGTATGCATGATGCCATAGCATGAACAATGTATAAAAATAATAATTCCAAACACATCTATTTATTTATATAACAAATAAGATTATATTTATTCTTCTATGTATAGTCTATATGAATCAGTGTTGTCAATAGCGGCGCAATAGCGCGCTATAGCGAAATAGCGGTGCGGCAGACAGGGTAGGCGCTACATGGAGGGCTCTAGCGTGGCGTTTGGGTGTTGCGTCCATAGCGCCCGCTATAGCGCAGGTGCGGGAGAGAAAATAGCGGCTGCTAACGCGGCGCGTTTTATGTTACAGAGTACTGCGCAGAATATGAGCCTTCTGGGAGGGATTTTAGCGTTAGATTTTTTAGCGCAGACATAGAAGGGTTAAATTAGACTTTTAAAACAATATTTTAACCTAATTAAAACCCATACACGTACGTTAAACGCTACTAAAAGCTCAAAACGAAGCCAGCTTTTGAAAATAGTCAGTGGCACCTCTGCGATGGCTTCTTCTCCCAGAACAACCATCATCTATTTCTGCTACTCTGCGATTGCTTCTTCTCCAAGAATGACAGATGCTGCCCTCCTCTGCTTTCAGTAGTATGCTTTCAGTAGTATCTGACTATCTTCCGCTGCAACATCTTCTTTTCCAACCTTTGCTGCAGACCTGCAGTCTTCTTTTCTTCTTCTTTTCGTATGAAGTCTAGTCAGTCTTCTTTTGACTCAATGTTTTGACTTAAGATGTTTAAATTATTAATAGTATCTTATATTTTACTCATGAAACTAAATAATATTTTTGAGTAATTTAAGTGGGTGAACCATCTAGTTTCAGTAGTTATAAAAGAAGTTTAATATAATTAAGTATAATATTTCTAAGTAATATTACATATGCTTCTAGTAGTTACTTATCTATTATATTTGAAAGTACTCCAAATGGTTCTATAAACTTAGAACCATCTAGTTTCAGTAACAAATACTACCTCCGTCCCCCTAAGTTTGGGACAAAGGGGTGTGTTGTGGTTTTTAAGAAAAAGTAGAATTGTGTGGTTGATATTGAATTGATATATTGTGAATAAAGTAAGAATGAATTCTAGCCACTCAAACATTACCCAATATGGTATGGGACAAATTTAATGGGACAGACGAAAAAGGTAAAACGGGACAAACTTAGAGGGACGGAGGGAGTAACAAATAATGACATGTATAGAATGTAAACAATTTGATTTATATAAATGGAGTTTTATATAATTAAGTATAATATTTCTAAGTCATATTACATATGCTTCTAGTAGTTACTTATCTATTATATTTGAAAGTACTCCAAATAGCGGTCATCCCGCTATCCGCTATACCGCTATGGCGTTTCGGGGGCTGCCCGCTCCGCTCCGCTATCTGGGATTGACAACACTGATATGAATAGTTATAATTGTTTGTTAGTGTTTTCTAATATTTGAAATGTTGACCATTGGGGAATAAATAATTACGATATACACCGTTTTCGCAAAAGGACCTAATGATAGAATATAAATTGATAATTCTTTTATAAATTGTTATGATTTCCTTTGTGAATGTACATTTACATATTGTGTAAGACTTTCAGTATGACAAACAAATATTCAATATGGAATATTTGATAAATGCAAAAAATGTTGATATAAAACTTGATAGAACTACAAGTTCACTAAAAAAGATATTACCTAATTTAAAAACCTCTTCGAGTCCCTTGAATGCAAATTTGTTGTCAATTCAATTCAAATAGTAGTAAAATATGTCAACCGTGATAGGCAGGCCCAGTCTTGACATTTGGTAGACCTGGGACATAATAAAAAGCTCAAAAACAACTTTTATGTATTTCATACAGATAAAACTACAAAAAACAATTTATTCAACCGTTCTTAAATGCAAAATCATCAATGATTGAGTCAAGCTCAATCTTTGTTGAGACATTGAAGATTCGAATTTGTCTTCAATAATTTAACTCAAAAGCTCCTCTCCACTAAAGCTACAGCCACTGGTGTAGTCAGTAAAAATTTGATGAGAAATCTGAAGAAAAAACCTCAACTTATTTAGAAGCAGACACTTTGACAGCCAGCAATTTGTAATCGACAACCTGTAATACAAAAAATAGATACTTAAATACGTAGTACGTAGTATTTAGAAAGAGCAGTGTTGAATATGGTTATTGACATGTTGTAATCTAAGTTCCTCACACAATTAAACGTATTGACGCACTGCATCAATTTTAATTAATTGCCGAAGTAATACATCAACAATCACAAAACACAATTGTCAACTCATCGAAACTAGAAGGTTCTAGTTTAAATAGCTCTTCTCAAAATCAACACATTTGCCTACACTCGTAGCTGAATGCAAATCTAAGTTCTATAATAAAAGATGAATCAACAGTTAAATCACCTCTAAAATCGTCAATCGTCAATTCTGACAGGCCCCTTTAAAGTCACATATTTCGGAAGAAGTAGATGAAGACTATAGAATTAGAGGTGTTTGGAACTGGTTCTGCTTCTGCTTCTTTTTTTAAAGTAGAAGCAGAATCAGAATCAGTTTTCAGAAGCTGGTACCCACCCACTTCTAAAAAAACTAATTCTAAGAGTAAATTAGAGCAGCAGAAGTGCTTCTGGAATTTCACCCAAACACTCCAACTTCTGCTTCTGCTCCCTGAAGCAGCAGAATCAGTTCTGAGGGAACAATAGAAGAGATATTGAGAGAAGAATCAGAAAAGAGAATTGAATATCGCAGTCGAGCTTGAAAAAATATCCAAATCAACTACGAGGATATAAAAGAGAAAGAAAATATCACCGCTTCAATATCACCGCGATGGGCTATGATGTTTCCGACTTTCTGTTTGCCTTCTAGGAATACCCTCTTCTTATACCATATTATCAAAATGCCTCTTTTCTATTTTAAATAAAAGAAATTTGTGAAATTACTAAATAACCTTTACTAAAATCTGGAGTTTGAATACTCCTTTCAAACTCCTCCAAAGATACCGAATGCACAACTCTCTTCATTCTGTCTTTCTCGTTCATTTTGTCTTCCACTCTTTCTCACAGATAGAACAAGTTCAAACCGGTTCAAACTCTCTTCATTGCACTCCTTTTGGAACCTTAATGCCAATCGTGTCACTCCTTCTATCTTTCATCATTTTAAAATGCTCCTCCTTCAACCTTAGCGGCAACCGTGCCACTTCGGGCATCATGAAGATCAAGAACCCTACAACTCCAATGATTGAAGAAGATAAGCCTAAACGTAAGCGTGGGCCGGTGAAATTGGGAGAAATTAGCTTTGCTAAAAAACTTCTGAAGAAGTCGGACTCAAAGCAGAGTAAAGAAATTCAACGAGATAAGGTTGTTGTAGAAGATCCTCAAAAGTTGAATGTTCTTTCTCTAAACAAATAAATTAAGGTAATTACTAATTCATCCAGTCTCATCAATTCTTTTTTGTTCTTATTTTGAATTTGTTTGACCATGTTTGAATGAGTTTGATTCGGTTTTTTACTGAATATAAATGTGGTTGACCTTGTTCTACCCTATTTTTTTTGTTTTTACCTTGTTCTACCGTGTTTTACTGTGTTTGACCAGTTTGACCTTGTTCTACCTTGTTTGACTGTGTTCGACCATGTTTAACAATTATTAGAACATGTATTTTTAATTATTTTGTTCAGGTTCCATCCATATCTCCGATGTTTGACATTACACTCTTCCCAAACATGAAAATTACAATATAAAGTTCATTGAGAAAGTTTCAAGCACAAATGAAGTGTTGGTTAGGTGATCATCCCGACATATTGAATCAATTTAGGTCCACTATAATTGGCAAGTACTTAGACATGCAATATGTCCCTACATCCATCCTTATGTGGCCTTTACTTGGTAGAATAGCGGATAATGAGAGAACTTCTGAGGTGTGGTTTGTGATGAAGGGGGTTCCAATTCGTTACTCTCTAAAGGAGTTTGCTTTAATTAGTGGGTTGAACCGCACTGCTCTGAACAAAGACAATTTTGAGAATGATTATGATGAGGATGATAGGGCAAATTTTATTGATACCCACCGGCCTTCTGTTCTTCGTGATGGAAGTCGAGATAAAGTTAGTTACTTTGCAATCATTTAAATCATCATGATAAAGCTAAAAAAGATGAAGCACAGTCTGAAGTGATAAGAATGACATCACATGTGTTCATAGTGATGGTTCTTATAGCCCCTGTCAAGAGAAACACTTCCATTCATGATTGGATCATTGCACAAGTCAGTAGCTACTATCTAGACTTTCCATGGGGTACATGGGCATTTATGGTGTCTCTTAAGCAGTTGAAAAGGAATTTAAAAAAGAAGATGGATGAGATTATGCATCAAGTGGTGACTCCAACATTATGTTATACGGGTTTCATAGCTCCGATATCGGTGAGATACGTTTATTTATGACTTAAATTAAAAAATTTATTTTTGGTATTTGTTAAATTAATTATTATTTGAATATATCTTGTTACATCTTGTTGTTGGAGTGTGTACCGGACTTTGCTGAAAATTTTGCTTTCAAGAAAAAGCAAACTACTCCCGTCTCTCCCCGCATTTGTCTTTGGAAGCCGAAAGAGATAAAGAAGAACTTGAATAATCAGGAAGTCCAGGAGATTGTAGGTGTAAAAGTAAGTCATATTAAATGTGCATTGCAACAATCATATATTGGGAGAGTAATTAATGCACTTGCGGAATATGTTTCCTATACTTGCACGAGTTAGTGGTTTGGGATCTCACACACCAGAGAAAAACCAATATGGGATTTTACACGACTCATTGCACCTCAACAGACTTTAAGTGACCGTGGATGTACGCTCTAAAGTTCATTGAGTTGGACATGAAAAAGAAGCATTATACCTACCTTCATGGGATTATTGCATAAGACATTAGGCTGCTTAAGCTCAAGATGGCATTTGATATTTGTTCAGAATTTCAGTCAACCTTAGATTTATCTAAATAAACTTGTTCTGTATGAACTCGTTTGTTATATGACATTTTAAATTATACCGATAGTATGTGTGTTGTTTAAATATTGTGGTGTGAACTTGTGTGTAAATTTTTTAATTTGAACATCGAAAAAGAGGGTTAAACTCGGTTGAACCCATCAATATATACAACCCAGGTCGAACTTGGTCAAACATAGTAGAACCAACACTCAATTTTGGGAAACCAGGGTAGAACCTGATCAATACAACCCCGGTCGAACTCAATCAAACATAGTAGAATGAACAGTCAAACCTGGTAGAACCCGATCGAACTCGGTCAATCATGCATGTTTGACCATGAGTCAAACTTTTGCGAGAAACGGGAAACATCAACTTTTCACAGAGTTTCTGAAGAGTTTCCAAAACAGAAACGTACTCTTTCCCGAGAGTTTCCGTGCTTCATACACCTAGAGTTGAGCAATATCCACCTGATCAAAGGCTAATAGGTTTCTATGTAAGTGTCGTAAGCCAATACATGAATAATCCAACTGAGGAACACATGGAAGCTGTTACAAGAATCCTTAGATACCTCAAGATAACTCCAGGAAAAGGTCTTCTTTTTAGGAAGAATGACCATAAAGATATTAGAGTCTACACGGAAACAGATTGGGCAGGATGTAACTGATAGAAGGAGTACTCCAAGTTACTATTCTTATGTTTGGGGGAATTTAGTAATAACATGGAGAAGTAAAAAACAGTCAGTCATTTCTAAGTCGTTTCTAGAAGTTCAGCTGAAGCAGAATTCAGAGCTCTAGCTCTTGGCATATGTGAAGGGATGTGGCTGAAAAGATTACTTGGCGAGCTGAGAGTATTTAAAGAAGGGTCTATACAAATGTTTTGTGACAATCAGGCTGATATTAGCAATGAAAAATCAAGTCCATCACAACAAAACTAAGCATATTGATATGAAGCAGAATCTGGGCTTGGAAGAACAGGGGCAGAAGCCTCTGTGGGTTTACTGAAGGCGGGGACGGGCTTGAGCCCACCTTCGTGGGCTGGTTGCGGGATGCTTAATTAATATTTATTCTTTTTAATTATCCTGATTTGTTTCCTATTAGGAGTTAATTAGGATCTCTATTATTTGTTTCCTATTTAAAGTTGATTAGGATCTCTATTATTTTGTTTCCTAGTTGGAGTTGATTAGGATCTTTATTATTTTGTTTCCTAGTTGGAGTTGATTAGGATTTCTAGGATTTTGTTTCCTGGTTTAAGAATTAGTAAATGGGTATTTAAACCCCTTGTTAGGATTCATTCATGCTCATCTTGGAATAAAAGTTGGTTTAGCCTTTTGGCTCTGGGCAACGGTATTTATTTATCATTGATTATCTTGGCAACGATTCACCCCGTTGATTTTATTTTTCTGTTACTATCAATTGGTCCGACCTGCCGGATCCCGTCCCGCCAGAATGACGAGATCTATCGGTGAACGTTTGTCAGAGGTGGTGGCCAAGCAAACTCAAACCCTAAAGGAGCACAACATGCGTCTGGCAGAGATCGCCGCATCCCTGGCAGCGCTTACCAAGGCGCTCGTTCCATCAATCACGACGGAAACAAGCTCGGACACGGTTGGCAGACCCAACGTATCTACGCACAGTGGCGACGGACAGCTGCAGAACGTCACTTCCTCATTGGCTGCACTAAAAAAGACTCTCACACCGTTGATTATCTTGGCAACGGTTCACCCCGTTGATTTTATTTTTCTGTTACTATCAATTGGTCCGACCTGCCGGATCCCGTCCCGCCAGAATGACGAGATCTATCGGTGAACGTTTGTCAGAGGTGGTGTCCAAGCAAACTCAAACCCTAAAGGAGCACAACATGCATCTGGCAGAGATCGCCGCATCCCTGGCAGCGCTTACCAAGGCGCTCGTTCCATCAATCACGACGGAAACAAGCTCGGACACGGTTGGCAGACCCAACGTATCTACGCACAGTGGCGACGGACAGCTGCAGAACGTCACTTCCTCATTGGCTGCACTAAAAAAGACTCTCACACCGCCAGCGGCGGAGCATTCAATGGTGGTGACTTCACTCGACGCGGCAGCAGCATACTCGTTCGGAATTGGACTATGCAGCTCCTTTCCTACGACGTTGCCCTCGTTTAACGAAGTAGAACCGATCAGCCGGGTTGATAAGGCTGAGAAACGGTTCGAATTGAATTGTGCTCTGCCGGGAAAGAAGGCGGCAGCCACTGTAGTTGTGATGGAAGGGTCAGCCCTATACCGGTTGACCTCGATACGGACACGAAAGTCGGGCATGTCATGGGATGAGCTTACACAGGCATTGGTGGCTCGTTTTGACTCACAGTTTCAGGGCAATTGCTTTGAACGGCTGCCCGGAGCCAAGCAGACAGGGACTGTGGAGGAGTACATCTCAATTTTTCCTGAAGGTACTGGGCAGCCCTTGGGGACAAATGTCAGCCGGTTTCCGGATTTCAACCTTGAGGACAACGTTTTTTCGAAGGGGGATGGAATTGATATGAAGCAGAATCTGGGCTTGGAAGAACAGGGGCAGAAGCCTCCGTGGGTTTACTGAAGGCGGGGACGGGCTTGAGCCCACCTTCGTGGGCTGGTTGCGGGATGCTTAATTAATATTTATTCTTTTTAATTATCCTGATTTGTTTCCTATTAGGAGTTAATTAGGATCTCTATTATTTGTTTCCTATTTAAAGTTGATTAGGATCTCTATTATTTTGTTTCCTAGTTGGAGTTGATTAGGATCTTTATTATTTTGTTTCCTAGTTGGAGTTGATTAGGATTTCTAGGATTTTGTTTCCTGGTTTAAGAATTAGTAGATGGGTATTTAAACCCCTTGTTAGGATTCATTCATGCTCATCTTGGAATAAAAGTTGGTTTAGCCTTTTGGCTCTGGGCAACGATATTTATTTATCGTTGATTATCTTGGCAACGGTTCACCCCGTTGATTTTATTTTTCTGTTACTATCACATATTGACATAGACAAACACTTCATTGCTGCCCCATCAAATTCCTAACTGCTGATATTCTTACAAAAGCTCTACCGAGAACTGTTTTTGAAAAATTAATTAGCAAGCTTGAAATGTTTGACATTCACAACCCAGTTTGAGAGGGAGTGTGGATTTATTTCCTGATTTAGAGAATAACTATTGTTGTACTTTAGATCTGATTTTGTATTAATTACCAGTATCGTGTATTTTATTCTTTCTAGAAATAGGATATTCTATTGTTTAGATTAGCAGATTGTATATTTAATGTATGTACAAATATCCTATCATTATGAGATTATAATATATCACAAATATTCAGAGCTTTCACACATTACATGATATGCTATGTTATTTATAAAATATTCTAGGGATCAATAAGGTAAGCTATTGATTATAATATTAATTTCAAAAGTTTTGTAAATGAAAATTCTAATGACTTTGTAACTCATGTAACTGATGTTTTGAACTCTTCTATATGCCCCGCAAGCCAGGTATATTGCCAAGAATCATGACCTTGTCACGTAGAAGAACAAAACGATGTCGTGGAAGTGGCTTGGTGAGAATGTCACCTAATTGATCATGAGAGGGGATATGAGGTACTCAAAGTTGCACATGTTGTCAGGCAAAATGGAAATCAATGACGACATGTTTCATGTAGGAGTGGAAGACAAGATTTACTAATATTAGATGAAAGAGAGGAGAAGAAGAAGATAAGAGATTATACTGTTTCAGATTGATTTCAAATGAACCGAGTACAAGTATTTATACAATTGGTTATAAGTCTAACTGACTTCATAACAACCGTGCCCCTATCTAGTATACTGTTTTTAAGAAGATTATTCTAGTCTATTACATGATGTATATCTAACATTCCTCCCTCAAAATTAGGGTGATTGGTTTGACAACTCAATCACATTAAGTTTTGTTTTCAAATCAAGAAATCTGGAACTGGAGAGTGGCTTGGTCAATATGTCTACAATCTGATGAAGAGAGGGAATGTGATAAACTTGAAGTTGCTTGAGCAGAACTTTTTCTCTGACAAAGAAAAGATCAATTTCCATGTGCTTGATCCTGGAATGCAAAACAGGATTGTGAGCCAGTTGAACAGCACTGAGGTTGTCATAGTATACTCTGGGAGTAGAAAAGGGGACTTGAAGTTCTTTTAATAGAAACTGAATCCATAAGAGCTCTGCAGTGGTGTCTGCCAGAATCCTATACTCTGCTTCTGTTGAGGATCATGCAACCCTAAGTTGTTTTCTTGACCACCATGAAATAATGTTGGTTTCAAGAAGTATGCATGAGCCAGATGTAGACTTTCTGTCATTGGGATCAGATGCCCAGTCAGCATCACAGTAGGCATATTGGCAGAGGTATAGAAGACAAGGAAGTAGGTCTGATAATAATTCCATGGTTTACACTTCCAGAAAGATATCTGAGAATGTGTTTCACTACATTCCAGTGCTCCTGCAATGGTTCTGCCATGAATTGGCACACTTTGTTAACAGCATAGCAGATATCTAGCCTAGTCAAAGTTGCATACTGTAACATTCCAACAATGGATCTATACTGGGAAGGATTAGAGTAGTAATCACTGCCTTGTTTCTGCAGTTTGCAAGTGCTCACCATAGGTGTCATAACTCTCTTAGACTCAAGCATGCCAGCTTGATTTAAAACATCTCTGATGTACTTAGCCTGTGATAGGTGAAGACTGCCATCTGGGAGTTTGTGTGACTCTATTCCAAGAAAGAAATCAAGCTCTCCCAAGTTTTTTAGAGAAAATGAGGAATGGAGTTTGTGAATGAGTTGAGTTATGGCTACTGAGTTGTTCCCAGTGACCAAAATATCATCAACATAGATAAGAATGTAAATTTGGACCGTAGAGGATAGATAGATGAGTACGGAAGGATCAGATTTGCTTTGTTTAAAATCAGCAGCATAAAGAACTGAGGTTAGTTTTTGAAACCAAGCTCTAGGAGCTTGCTTTAAGTCATATAGTGATTTGTGAAGTTTACAAACCAGAGATGTGTCTTGAACTTCAAAACCTGGAGGCTGAACCATGTACATCCTCATCTAGTTCACCATTCAAGAAAGCATTGTTAACATCTAACTGCTGGATGGACCAATTGTGTGAAATAGCAATGGTAAGCAAGATTCTGATAGTGATAGGCTTCACAACTGCACAGAATGTTTCCCCAAAATCAAAACCAAACTTTTGATGAAAGCCTTTAGCCACCAATCTGGCTTTGAACTTGTTTAGAGATCCATCAGGATTCTCTCTCTTTGACTCTGTAAATCCACTTGCATCCAATAGCCTGCTTATCTGGAGGAAGAGAAACAAGAGTCCAGATTTTATTAGCAATCAAAGCATTATATTCAGTCTTCATGGCTTCAAGCCACTGTGGAGAAGCAGTAAGGTAGGATGAAGTCTTGGTTTTACTATGCCTGACTTTGCCCTTGTCCTCATGGGATGATTATGATGGGGACTGAAGGAGGTGGAGTAGTTTGGTGAAGAGAATCAGATGATGAAGAATGAGGGCTGGGTGAGGAGTGTGATTCATGAGATGTGTTGGGAGGGTGTTCATGAGATGAGGATTGTGATGCATGAGAGGAAGATTGACTTTTGAGTATTAGAGAGAGATGGATGGTGTTCATGAGATGTGTTTGGAGGGTGGTTTTGAGAAGATACAGAGTTAGCACTTGAGGAGTTAGATTCAGGGGTGCTGGGAGGGTGGGAGGGTGGATGAAGGTCTGAACACTGATAGGGACTGAAGGATGATCCAGATGGAGGTTAGAAGAAGAGGCAGATGAAGTAGGTTTGAAACGATTCCATGTATTGGCTTACGACACTTACATGGAAACCAATATCAGGCTTAGTGTCAGATAAATATATAAGTCATCCCATTAGCCTTTGATCAGGTGGATATTGCTCAACTCTAGGTGTATGAAGCACGGAAACTATCGGGAAAGATTACGTTTCTGTTTTGGAAACTCATCAGAAACTCTGTGAAAAGTTGATGTTTCCCGTTTCTCGCAAAAGTTGACGTTTCCCGTTTATCGTTTTCCCATTACTTTCACGTTTCCATGCAACATCGCTTTGGGTTGGCCTTACAGTTTTAAAAGGCGCGAGGCGGCGCAAGGCGTTTTCATTGATTTACCCGAGGCACGAGGCGCTAGGCGGCGAGGCGCTAGGCGGCGAGGCGCTCGCCTCACGGATCTTAACGTCATATCTTTGGTAAAATATATTTATACTACTTTTACATGAAGCACTTTTCTCAAAAAGTGATAACATCACCAATATAATTCAAACTATTAAACAATCTTAATAAACATCATAAGAGAAACCAAATACTCGTATTTTTAAGACAAAAGCAAGAAATATATATTAAACGGCATCATTGCTAAAAGTCAAGACACAAAACTCAATTTTAAAACTTCAAAACATAAATAATAAACTATGGTATTATATAAAAAATTAATAATAAAAAATGTCGGCTAAAGCAGCAAAAGTAGATATTCAAGATACGTACGTTTAAACCAACATGGGGAGCCATCATCAGAACTTTGCGATTCTGCCATGTCGTGTACATGTCCATCAGGATATATTATAAACTTCCCAAACTCATCGCCCCAACATTTAACTGTGGAACGTAGCAAGGTCAGGGATAAACGAAATTCCACAACATATTCTCACATCTGATGTTTACCGAAATCCAGTCTAATACATTATTGTGAGGTAAATCTCATATTTTTATGATTATTTTGGAGCTAATTACAACAAAATAAACCATATTTAACAAGAAAAAAGTAGAACAATATTGACACAAGAGACAAATAAACTAATGACACAAGAGATTAAGACAAATTTAAAAATTAGGACCCTGAATATTACGGAGTATTATATAACTAATAATGCGTGATAAAAAAATTTAAAATCATACTACGTATAAAAGACAAAGGAATTAGTGAAATTAAAATAAGTCTATCATGCATCTCACTATCCCTAGCTTCCATTTCCTTTCAATTATATTACTCTCTTCCGTTACTTAAAACTTTGCCAAGTTTGACCGCCGCAGAGAAGAAAGAAAGAATAGGAAGAGGAAGCACACATTAATTGATTAAAAGGGAAATTGATTGTTTTTGGGACAAATAAAAATGAACATTTTAAGGGACGAATGGAGTGCTATTTTTTTATATGGGCCCTTTAAAAATCTGACGCCCCAAGCAGCAGCCTAGCCTCACCCCCCTCTAGTCACTCTGTGGATAGTTTAGACAACCCAAACAAGGCCGCAGGGTGTCCCGTATCGAATGTGCAAGGGTTCGAGTCTTGTATATTAGTGTGAGGGGATAAACCCCAAAAAGGACACCCTTTATGTATTAACAGTATATAAGTAATCAACAATTAGAAGCGTGAGTCATGATCCATTTCAAGTAACAGCAAATGATCAAAGAAAAAAATGTAGAGACCATATTACACACCTTCAGTACAGAGAGAGTTTCCAAATAAGGAAGAAAAGAGATTTCGAGGGTGGAGAGAGGCAGGAAGCTTCGGTGCTTCGTAAGGAAGAATGGGAACGACAGTGCCATAAAGACACTCAAAAGACAATTTTTTCAATATTATTGTGGATATCACCTTTAGCTCATGACGCACTAGATGATACGAGACAATCTTTGTTGATAGCCTGATGTACAAAACATCACAATCCAGCGGATCAACGCTCAGTATCCTACCAACACTAAGCGATATGGGCAGAGCGCGAAGAGTGTAACACCTCCTATTTGACCAATGACCCCCAAGAAGAGCCCACGTTGAAATTCTGGCATGATCAACGACCCTGATAGCACAGTCTTCCTTGTGACTTCCCCAAAAATTGGCATGTGCAAGGGTATAAATTTATACATGACGATCTCTCAGGAAACTTTGAACTGATTTGCTGACAGAAGCAAAGCTCATCAGAATCAACAACTGAATCACCAGGGGGTTGTTACGGGCGTCGTTGGGAGATAAAAAAAAAAAAAAAAAGAACCATAAGTATGATAGTTGGAAAAACAACTCAGCTTCCCGCCCTAGGAAAGGAATTGTCCGTCGGTTCCACCGAGCGCACAAGAAAAATTATTCTCCATAAGATTGATGATTTTATTCATTAATATGGCACCTCTATTTATACTAGTCCCAAGAGTCTTGGTGGTCTAGTATTAGAGAACCTTAATTCTATTACAATACTTTTATTAGGAAATTAACTAAAATATAATATCTCTACTAATAGGAAACTGCAACTAATAATAACCTTAGGAAACTAGAACCTAATACTTTAGGACTCTTACTTTAGGAAACTAATAATAATAATAATAATAATAATAATGAATAATGATAGTAATAATGAGCTTCTTCTTTCCATATCATTACTCCCCTCTTGAACATCAAGCTGGTCCTCAAGCTTGAAGCTAATAACTCATGACAACCAGTCTTTCCACGATCAAACGGCATTATTATATGATCCACCATCACCATATTAGTAATGGCCCAATGTCCCAATATCTGGCTAGATTCATCAAAATTTCTTCTTGCTAGGAAGGTCCATATTATTTCTTGCATCTTGGTTGTGGGCAGCAAATATGCAGGAGGGAAGGATGAAGGTGCCAACACTGGTCGTTTCAGCTCCACGGGTGACAGCAAGAATGTTGTTGACAGTGTTATATTGGCTTGTTGCGAATCTGTTGGCAGTGGCAAAATTGGCAGTGGTGTGGATAGCAAAGATTGCTTATCCAACAACTGTTGTGGGAACAGTGGAGATGCCGACGACCATACAAAGGTTGGAGCTTTCCTTGCACTACCAATTTTGGTGTGCTTAATACTACAACTACCCATAATATTCATCAAATGAAAAAAAAAAACTTATGCAATTAAACAAAATCCTAAAGAAAAGTTGAGCCTTTCAACCAAGGTGAAGTTTCAGACTTTTGATATCCCAAGTCAGAAAGTCATATTAATTGTGTAAAAAACAACGCATGCCACATAAAAGCTTGATATCTACTGAATATTGAGTCTTTGGTTTTTAAACGACAAATCTATATACTAAAGCTTCAAACTTTATATATTCACAATAGTATATTTAATTGATTTTGCTGGAAACAATACCGCCCACAACTTTCCCTTAATAAAGGTAAGAGCTCTCCTTTCAAAACTCAAACTTTTTCTCTCCAAAAGAGGGGCTTGCTCGATAGATGTACAACTTTTAATTGTAGATGAATAATTATCCGTAGTAAAACTATTTTACAACAATTCTCAAAAAAAGAAACTATTTTATAACATAAAACTATTTGACATATGTAACTTCATGGAATCATGGTGATGTTTTTCTTTAGGAAAATAACAAAAGGAATTAGTTTCTTTGAAAAATTGTACTCTTTTTTCTGGAAAAGAAGTGTGAAACGTCTTTATTAAGAACCGATGGATAAATTTATGGTTATATCATTTATACTTATGAGTATAGTTACGACTTATTTGCCGTGTTAGTATTTGTAAAAAAAAAAATAAAAAAAAAAAAAAAAAAACGTTAATTTGAATCTTAATCGATTCACCCTGCCTCTAAAAATGTTTTTTTGAAGATTTGCTTGCAAAACTCAAACTTCTTTTGATTCGATGGGCTATGAAAATTTGGAAAGTAAATGGATTAGTATAAACTAAGGCATCTGTTCTTGTTTTCCATCTACGATATATAATGGTTTTAGAAAACGGGACATTCTACAGAGACAGAGACAGAAAGACCGACCAAAGAAGCAGACAAATTGAATTGAAGCGGAAGATCAGAAATCCAACCTTGAAGAAAGCTAAAAATCAGATCTAGTGTTAACCCAATAGGAACTCGACGTCGTTGGTAATTTATCGTAAGTACCGGCAATTCCGATCTCCTTTGTTTAAGGCAGTAAGGAGGAAGCAGGCATGTGGTGTATATAAATTCCGATCTCCTTGGTATATAAGGAGTGTTGAAATCAAGAAGACCAAATAAAGAGATAGATGTATAGATAAAAATCTCTAAATTACTTCTTCTCTATATCTGAAATTTCTGAGTATCTGAATTTCTGAATGAATTTACAAGGCTTCATCAAGCTCCTATTTATAGTGTTTGAGCTTGATGATTAGTCACATAAATGATGAGTCTACAGATTTGGTGGCAATAACAAATTGAGCCATCTATTCTAACTAGGTTACAAGGATCATTACAAAGATCAGGAACATCTTGGTGTCCTAGTGACAAGGATGAATTCACACTTGTCAATTTGATGGTTTTACAACACTCCCCCTTGAATGTTCATCCTTGAATATGTATTTGTTATCTTATTGTGAAAATGAGTGTGAAAATTAAGGGGTAAAAATTACGACATATAATGTCGTTGCATTTGGATGTACTGTCTCGTTAAAAACCTTATCAGGAAAAACCCAGTGGGATAAAAACCTGATGAAGGAAAAAAGAGTGCAGTGCATTCAAATACTCCCCCTGAAATTAACATAAATTATTAAGGCGGCGCATGCCGATTTTCTGTACAAGTTCCATGAACTTCTTTGGTGAAGAGATCGGCTGGATTTTCACTGGATCTGATTTGTTGAATGTTGATCGTCCCTTCTTTCTCAAGGTCATGAGTAGAGAATAACTTTGGAGATATGTGCTTCGTTCTATCTCCTTTGATGTAGCCTTCTTTAATTTGAGCTATGCATGCGGTGTTGTCTTCGTAGATCACAGTCGGGTGACAACTAATAGCTTTCATACCACATTCATCTTGGATGTGTTGAATCATAGATCGCAGCCACACACATTCTCTCCCGGTTTCATATAGTGCAATTAATTCAGAATGATTTGATGATGTAGCTGTCAATGTCTGCTTCATAGATCTCCATGAGATTGCGGTATTACCATAAGTAAATACGTACCCGGTTTGTGATTTCGCCTTTTGAGGATCTGATAAGTATCCAGCGTCCGCATATCCGATTAAAGAAGCTTTTGCATCTTTGTGGTAGAATAGACCGAGATCAATTGTACCACGGAGATAACGGAATATGTGCTTGATCCCGTTCCAATGACGTCTTGTTGGACATGAGTTGTACCTAGCTAATAAATTTACAGAAAATGCAATATCTGGTCTAGTATTATTAGCTAAATACATTAGAGCTCCGATAGCACTCAGATATGGTACTTCGGGACCGAGTATATCTTCGTCGTCTTCTCGTGGACGGAATGGATCATCGTGTATATTGAGAGATCGAATGACCATTGGTGAAGTCAAAGGATGAGCTTTGTCCATATAGAATCTCTTCAATACTTTCTCGGTGTAATTGGATTGGTGGATGAAAATTCCATTCTTCAAATGCTCAATTTGAAGTCCGAGACAAAATTTGGTTCTCCCGAGATCTTTCATTTCAAATTCTTTCATAAGATATTTTGCAGTATTTTCAATTTCATCGGGAGTTCCAATAATATTTAAGTCATCAACATATACTGCAATTATGGCGAATCCCGAATTTGATCGCCGAATGAAAACACATGGACTAATCGGATCATTCTTATATCCTTCTTTGAGAAGGTATTCACTGAGACGATCATACCACATTCGTCCAGATTGTTTTAGTCCATACAATGACTTTTGTAATTTAATGGAAAACATGTCTCGAGGTTTCGAGCTATAAGCTTCAGGCATTTTAAATCCACCGGGAACTTTCATATAAATGTCTGTATCAAGTGAACCGTATAAATATGCGGTCACTACATCCATTAGGCGCATTTGCAGCCTTTCAAAAACAGACATGCCAATGAGAAACCTTAATGTAGTTGCATCAACTACTGGAGAATATGTTTCTTCATAATCGATTCCCGGCATTTGAGAAAAACCTTGGGCAACAAGTCGGGCTTTATATCTAACAATTTCATTTTTCTCATTGCGTTTACGCACAAATACCCATTTAAAACCCACAGGTTTTACGCCTTTTGGCGTAGGGACTATCGGTCCAAAAACATCACGTTTTTCAAGTGATTTTGATTCAGCCTGAATAGTTTCATTCCATTTTGGCCAATCGTGTCGTTTCCGACATTCTTCAATTGATGTTGGCTCATTGTCATTGTTTTCATTCATTACATTTGTGGCAACGGCATAGACAAATATCTCATTAATATCAATATCTTTTCGATTCCATTGCATTCCAGTAGAAACGTAGTTTATTGAAATTTCATAATTATCAACGTTTCTATCAGTATCTGGAATATCTTCCTCATTTAAGGAAGTTGAATCATTATTTGAGATGTTTGTTTTGTCAATATCATTTTCTATGCCAGTATTTTCAAATTGTTCATTTTCTTGTTCAGAAGGATGAACATCTTTGGCATCACAGATCAATTCCTGTCTTTTAGTCTTTTTTGGTTTTATGTCTTTTGATCCAAGTGACCTGCCACGCTTTTTGCGTATAGAAGAATCATTTGCGAGAGATTTTTCAGAATTCTCCGCTGGAATTTCAATTCTGGCAGGGGCGTTCATAGCAGGAATATGTGACTTTGTCACTTTCTTTGTGTCTGTGAATGCATCAGGCAACTGATTTGCAACAACTTGTAAATGGATTATCTTTTGCACCTCTTGCTCACATATATTTGATCTAGAATCAAGGTGTGATAATCCTGTTGCATTACATGTTATTTCTTTCGTACTTGGGTCCGATTTATTAGTGTCTCCCCCTAAGGTTGGGAATACTGTCTCATTGAAATGACAGTCAGCGAACCGTGCGGTGAATAAGTCACCGGTCATCGGTTCAAGATATTTGATTATTGAGGGAGATTCAAATCCAACGTAGATTCCCAACCTTCTTTGAGGACCCATTTTTGTACGATGAGGTGGAGCAATCGGAACATAAACAACACAACCAAATATTTTTATGTGTGCTAAGTTTGGGTCTTGTCCAGTAACTAATTGTATTGGGGAATATTCATGATATGCAGTCGGTCTAAGCCGAATTAAATTTGTTGCATGCAAAATAGCATGTCCCCAAGCTGATGAAGGTAAATTACACTTCATTAATAATGGTCTAGCGATTAATTGTAATCGTTTAATCAAAGATTCAGCAAGACCATTTTGTGTATGGACATGAGCAACAGGGTGCTCCACATCAATCCCAATCGACATACAATAGTCGTTAAATGATTGGGAAGTAAATTCTCCTGCATTATCAAGGCGGATTCTCTTTATAGAATGATCCGGAAAATGAGCTCTTAATCGTATAATTTGAGCGAGGAGTTTAGCAAATGCTAAATTTCTAGTCGATAAAAGACTAACATGTGACCAACGTGTTGAAGCATCAATCAACACCATAAAATATCGAAATGGTCCACATGGTGGGGCTATCGACCCACAAATATCTCCTTGAATCCTTTCTAAAAATGCAGGTGATTCAGTTGCAATTTTGTTCATAGAAGGCCTGGTGATCATTTTGCCAAGAGAACAGGCCTTACAAGGAAAATCCCTTGATATTGGAACCCTTATATTCTTTATTGGGTGTCCAAGTGAAGTCTTAATGATTTTATGCATCATTACTTGGCCTGGGTGACCTAAACAGTCATGCCACAACATGAATGTTTTCTGATCATCTAACTTTGCGTTAGAAACCAAATTTATTTCGAATGGACTAATATGAGTGAAATATAGTCCTGAGGAATATACTGGCATTTTTTCACAAATACATTTAGTGCCAGATTTAGTTGTCGTTAGACAAAGATATTCCTTTTGGGTTTCATTCATGATTTCTATGTGATAACCATTTTGACGCATATCTTTAAAGCTTAATAAATTTCTCCGCGATTTGCTGGAGTATAAAGCGTCATTTATAAGTAATTTTGTCCCGTTAGGGAGCATCACATATGTTTTCCCAGAGCCTTCAATGAACTTTGCAACACCTGATATTGTATTGACTTTAGCCTCAACTGAAGTCATTTGAGAAAAATATATTTTATTTCTCAAAATGGTGTGTGTTGTGGCGCTCTATCAGACATAGCTCTTTATCACTTGAGTGATCCATATCTTCAATATATGTAAATAAACATAAGCTTTGACCACAAATTATGCATATTATTTAACATAAGAGTACATATATTACACACATTTATTTAAAAACAAGATAAAAAGGGGAAGAGAGAAAAAGTACATAAAACTAGTATCATGAGTCTAATATTTTATTTTGTAGCATCTATCTATATACAAAGAGCTGTGGAAACGCAGCCAAAATTCCCGCCCAAACTACCAGGTCACAAATGTGGAGTCGGGTGTAAAAACGGGTCTAGCATTTCAGGTCAAGTCTTTAACCAAAAAAATTAAATCTGTGTTGCTTTGACAGGCCGCATGGGATTGCATTTATTGTGGTAACATCAAGTCTTTTCAATACTTTTTCAACATTAAATGCAAAAGCAGTAGACAATTTTTAAAAGCAAATGTAACTCGGCCAGATTCAAAATTGTGTGGCCAAATCGCAGTAAGGAAAGCTTTGACATTAAATGATGTGTACTTCATATCTTCTTGAGCCAACTAAATAATAAAATAAAATACTCCGTATTTAAAGTACATTGGCATTAATGCTATGCAGCAATGAGATTTGAATTCAAATATAAAAAATCGTAAAGAATTTTTGACCATTGGTTATTGGAGTTACTGCCAGCTGGAAACAAAAATAAAGTTAGTCTCTGCAGCAGTATAAATAGCCTATCCCGGCCGGTTGAATTTCCATCCCACCCACGACATCATCCACTCTCACACCACATTTGAATGGCAGCAAATCAAGGAATTACTTATTTCTCAGAGATGTTGAGAACACAAGGACTGCTTGGTCTATCAAGGTAGTAAGGGCTAATGAAATGACACCACAGACCAGGGGAGGATGAACTTTGTGTTCATTGACTCACAGGTGGTGTGAAACCACCACAAACTGCATATGCAATGCAA